GTCTCAGCGCGCTATCCGCCGTCGTCCGGCTCACCTTGGTTAGCATCCTCGCAGATATTCTATTGCATCAGCTGCATGCCACGACCGTGGATGGATGGCACAAAGATCCCCAGAATTGGCAGTGGATGGACGACGCTCTACTTATCATTGTAGCTCTCTTGCCTTCTCGCACGCGGCTGCCGGAGCCGGCGTATTTGCTCCTGCGACATGTATTCCAACCCTCAGCGAACGGACAGTTCAACGGCTGCGATCTATTCGCATCGCGAGTGGTCGCAACAGCTGCCGGTCATAGTACCACAGATATCTGGCAGGCCAAAGCGTTCAGCAGTGTGTCAGGGGTTTTGAAGTCACTTTCGCCCCAGACCTTAACGTGTATGGTGCATTGGAGTTACCTGGATCTTTCTCAGGTCAGCTTCGAGAGCGCCACATTCCAACGCCTATTAGATAGCGTGGAGAATGGGCAGCCAAAGGTCCACCCTCGCACCTTACGAATCTTAGTCGAAATCGCCGCTTCTACTCTACATTCGACCATCTTTCCGCAGGGGACGGGAGCCTCAAACCATAGGGCAGGAGATTTATCTCCGGAAGCGAAGCCTCTTCTTGAATTCATTATCCGTGCAGTTCCCATCATCGAACGCCTACTCCCTATCAGCGATTTCACTCGTTCGGAGACAATGGATGGAGTTAGCATCGACATATTGTTCATGGACCTAGTTTCAACGCCAACCCTTATATGCTCGTTTTTAGAGAGCCTCTCACGGTACCCCGAACTCTTGTCGAAAGACTTGCGGACAGCCCAGGATCTAGTCTTCGGACCTCTTTCTCGGATCCATTTGACACACAGACTCTCCAGTAGGTCTTGCACATATGCTACAAGTTCATAACTGATAATTAATATGACATAGATTCTATTCAACTCGAGATTACAAACGCCTTTGCCACTTATTTCGACGCCGCCTGTCGTTCTGAGCAAACGCTCGGTATTCTCACTGTACTGCGGCTTTGTCTGATGTTCACAGTCTTTCCAGTTTGCCATGAACCAGCAGTCATTGGCCCCACCCAGCGTACCTTCACAGCCATCGCAAACTGTATAGACAGGGCCAGCCGTCCCGTCCAGACGGCAAACGGAGCCAGCACTCTCAGAAGGTCCTATGTAGGGGAGATCAAAGACTGTCAAGACATTGCGTATCTGATCTTGCACTTGATGGACGCAGATGACCAGGATGGCATGCAGCCCTTTCGCATTGGGAGACCGTCCTCTGTTTGCACTCCTAGTCTCATGGATGAAGAAGACGGTCGGTATTCACGATGGGCGGCCCAATTCAACGTCGAAACAAGCTTGTGTCCGCACAAGATAGTGGAGAGCTTGTTCAAACTGACAGGCCGTGTGGTGGACAGGCTCGGACGAAAGTTTTGGCGGATCAGGTTCCTTGAAGATACTGATGTTGGAGATCGAGGACAAGAGTACGCGACGCGCGCGGGAAGCAAGCGTCCCGCATCAGAATAATGCGCGGGATCGCTTTTCGAGTTGGCGGGACGCCACACGTTTTGGACACGGTCGATTTATTCTCTACTCTCTGTAACAAAGACCTGGGGTCCCGGTCTTATTTTCTTGCTTGTCCCTTTATTATCGGACTTATAGACAATTAGCAGTAGTACTATATATACCGTAGGGTGCCCTTGAATATGGCAGTCTATTCTGCCATCTCACTCTCGTGTAAAGGTACCTGTTATACCAATACAGTCTATTCTGCCATACTTACTCTCGTGTCTAAGTTCCACTAATTGAATATGAGTTGGTCTTTACTGTCAGATTCGGACGCGCATTACCCGTGTCCAACGACATTGTCTATCTATTACAGTATCGAGATTACTTCGACTTTCAATTATTTAGAACGAATCATATGGATGAACGAGACTGAGCCTTGATTGGTGTGATACGTGAAACAGAAAGAAAGAAAAGAAAACACGTAGATTTACGGTACACCATATAGTACGATTTAAGTGTGAAGTCTTTGTGTAGAGTCTTTTATCGCTGCTAGTAACTCACGGAACACCGGAATCTGTGTGTCTGATTAGGCATAGCTTTATACTGTCCAGGCCGACTGTTTTGCATCAAAAACAAGTACAACAGCACAAGAGTCCAGAGAAAATTACGGTAATACGAGAAAAAGCAGTGCGTGAGCTTCTTCGTGGAATAATTCGTTCTAGCCGAGGAAGGGGTGAGTTCGGCGGATGACTCTCGTTCCACGAGAGTTCTACTGCATCAGAGTGAGCGGATTGAGAAGGTGCGATCAAAGATACGGAGGCGAATGCTTACGATTGCGAAGCAAGACAATGGCGACAGAGTGAACGTTCAGACTCACGGGATACGCCATGCCGTCAGCGCAAGGCCTAAGCTGCTCTATCAGAAGCCTGCATTCGTCCTCAGAAAATAGAGAGGTGGTATTGTCGAAAGTTGATGGAGCATTGACGTATTCTGAGAAATGAGGTTACGACTTAAATAAAATAGAGAAAGCAACGGTTGATATATTTACTAGAATAACAGTTATGAAGGCTTTCCAAAGCATCACGATACGCCTCCATTGGGAGTGCTGCATGAGAAGGATGCGACTCAATGTATAGCCAATATAGATATTTAGGCCCTTCGTTTGCTAATAGTAATGCACGTCAATCGTCTTGTTATCAGCGAGAAGAGTAGACTAACCAGCTTCCGATGCAAGTAGTGGCTGTGGACAGTCAAAACTGAGGGTCGCTGAGAAATGGTCTATGTAGCCCACAGTTAAATTGATGCGGTCTGCCGATGTCTCGATATCACGGAGCCAAAGCTCGAGTCCGTGAGAGAGATCGTACTGGGACAGGCGCGAGGTGATCGCGGCGAGTTTACGTTCATTGCGAAGGTCCGCATCCACGACGACGCGCAAACTACTATGAGAGTAGTAGCACCTACGATCCATAGAGCGATGCGGTATCCATCCCTGAGGTGCCAAATCACCTGAGTGTGTATCCAAGCCCCGGCGGTTCGGAGCTAGACTTCGTTCGTCGATCGCAGATGTTGTTGGTAGAACGTCGCGAATATGTCTGTAAGCATGAATCAAGGGTTCTCGTTGTTAGGAATAGCTAGATAGATGGAAATGCCTCTTACCTTCTATACAGGTTCGTATCTTGTCTGGTTGTCTGGCTATCACTGAAAAAGGCTTCTAAGTTGGAGGGCGAGGGGTCATAACTAGGGTTAATCCTGTACAGAGTTAACAAAAAACGCTCTTCACATACAATTTTCCGTACCTAGCATTGGTTGCATAGCTTGTACCTGGCACATATAGAGCTGAAATGTAGGTTGAGTCGGGAATGGTTGTGGGAGAGTCGTAATAAACGATAGGAAGTTGTGGTGTTTCTGCTCGTGATTCGTATGGGGCTGGGCATTCTGTAGTCGATGCCTCCGAGAAATCACTTTTAGGGTAAAGTAAAAGCAAACTTCATGATAAAATACTTTTCTCAACAAATAGCGACTTACAAGAGTTCGTCTTGAGCACTATAGTATGACGAACCCACTGATGACATGCTTGGCATAGCCAGTGTTTCTCTATAATTGAGCGAAGAGATGAAAACGATTAGAGGCCGATGAATCCCAGTCTTGTAGAGTATGGTCTCACTGATTTGTCCCATACTCTGAGCTGAACAGCTCAGCCTGAGAACGATCAGTGGAATCAAGTACGGCATCCGTAGCGGGAACACTGTTAGACAGGGTTAAACATATGGAAGCAGATAGTATATGTGCAGACGTACCATATGTGCCCCCTGAAGTATACTACAAGTTGTTCGAGTGACGGTGGAATAGTCAGGTACACCCTTTGCAGGGTTTTCTCTCCTCGTAAGAGTCCCATGCCTTCTTCTGCTATCTTCTCCATCGCAAGCGCACAAGGAGACCCTGGCCTCCTTGCCTTTGTGAGACAGAGAGGCGACGCAGTAAGAGCCCATCCATATTCTAAGGATAGTCTTGTAGGCGCGAATATATCTCGTAAAAAAGAACGACTTGTAGGTGACGGCGTACGAGTCGGCGGACGGATGATGATGGTCGGAACACTATTGAAAGGCGATGGAACTGCATTCATGTGCTCAAGAATAATTTTGTTTGTCGTAGATGTCGGGAGCGTGGAAGAGATGCGGGTTGCAATATTGTCAGTGCCACGTCCTATGCAGAGATGGGGGAGAGGGACATACTCTGCCGATAGAAAAAGCGCTGCCTCCGAAGACACGTCGGTTGATATGGATGAAGACATTCGCTTTCATTGCCATCTACAAACCATGTTCTCCGCCACAAGACCCTGCCGCAGACTCTCGGGGCACTGCGTCATGGGTTCAGGGGCACCCGATACGCGACGACGCTATGCTTTAGGGCTGGAGACTCCTTGGTTCTGAGTAATATTTCAGTGCACTGCATTTGAATACACCAATACTTACTATTAGGGAGCTGTGGTAGTTGGATTTTGAGGGGTTTCGAAAGTCATCTAACAGGAACCCTACTATGCGTTGTGGCACTGATTAGCATCGCTCATATGGTGGTATGTCAACTCGGAATGCAGTCAGAACTACCATACACAAGACTTGTAACTTATCGTGGAGGCCCGATTGCGTCCCAGGTCGAGTTTCAGACTTCGTCTCATTAAAGTGAGGCCTACGTCAAGTTTGTCTCTCCGCTAAGCGCCGACGAACCGTCAGCTGCAGCGGAAGAAATGGTTTCTTGTTATCGAATGCAGTGCCCGCCATCAGACGCCTTGCGTATCTGCATTCGAGAGCACCCTACTAAACCTACAACTTTATCTCATACGTTTTAGATCGCAACAATACAAGTGCTGTCAACGTGCTAAACGTTTGGGAGCCTGCTCCGATCTCCCATAGCCTGTAATACACACCACTGATATTCTTATAAGTAAGAAGTTGTATGTTCTGGCGACTTTCAACGTTCAAGGATACTGGTGAAAAATTATGAACCAAAAGAATGACCACCGCAGGGGTCGAACCTGCAGTCTCCTGATTACGTAAGCAATCGATCGTAGTCAGACGCGTTGCCATTACGCCAGGCGGCCTTGCTTTCTAAAATTTTAAATAGCAATATAGACTATGCCCACGTCACGTCTCGCGTCCCCCCAGTAAGTTGGCGCCAAGCTAACCGCTAATTTGTGCTCAACCATCGAGGAGACTCTTTCGTCTAAAGACTCTTTCATCTCCCTCGCCTCTTCTTATCTCTTCCGGAAATAATGTCAAAGAGAGCAGGTTCTCCCAACCCCCAGGGTGCTCTTGTCAAGCGAACACGCGAGTCGTCGCCCGGACCTACGAACCAAATTGCTATCTCATCCTCGAATGACGAACGTCAGCAAGCCCTTATTCGTACTGTAAAACGCACTAGCAGCCTTGAGGCACCTATCATTAGCCTATCAGGCTCACACGGTGTTAGTTGCTTGCGCTCATATGTTTTGATTGAGGATTTCGTGCTTATATTGTTTTCAGGCAGAAATCCTCAGTTGCCGATTTGATCCAACGGGACAGAATATTGCAGCTTGCTCGGCTGATCGTTCTATCTGTATGTATCGAGCTTGTATTGTGCACGGGATCTGGTCCGGAACGTTCATAGACTGATCACTCTCTTCCCAGCGTTATGGAAGACGTACTCTCCGAACACCAACTATGGCTTACTAGCAAACCACCATAAAGCACCTATTCTTGATCTACAGTGGTCACTGTACTCCTCTATACTGTACGCTGCATCTGCGGATCACACTCTGTCGATTACCGACCTTTCTACTGGTCAACGCGTTCGCAAGCTACGTGCACACCGCGGAATCGTGAATTCACTTGATAGGACGCTTGCGGGTGCGGCTGGTAACGAACTCGTCGCCAGTGGCTCAGACGATGGGACTGTGCGTGTGTGGGAGGGCGGAGATGAGGGGTCGAAGCAGCCCGTCGCGGTCTTCGAGGTCGGTTGTCCGGTGACGGCTGTCTGCTGGAGTGCAGATGGTGCGAACATATATGCCGCTGCGCTGGACAACGAGATTCACGTGGGTACTTGCCCTGTTTTTGAGGGATTTCTACTAACAACCCGTTGTCATAGGTGCTCGACCTGCGCAAGAATGCCGAAGTGCTCACTCTCACAGGACACACTGACACACCAACATCCCTATCTCTGTCGCCCAACGGCTCATTCCTTCTATCACCATCATTCTCGTCGCAAACGCTCATCCATGATGTTCGTCCGTTCTCCCCTACGCCGTCACGCGTGCACCGCGTACTCATGGGCGCGCCCGCTGGGTTTGAGAACACGCTTTTGAGAGGCGCGTGGAGTAAGGACGATGGTGGACGCCGGGTTGGTGTCGGAGGCGCAGACAGGACGGTGTGCATTTGGGATGTGGACTCGGGCAAGGTGCTATACAAGGTGTGTTGTTTTTATTTGCCCTGCTTCCGGTACTGATGTGAGTTCTTCGCAGCTTCCGGGGCACAAGGGAACCGTCACTGCCGTAGACTTCCATCCAAAGGAGCCCATCAGTAAGTTCAACATACTGGTTACATGACAACACGTTTAACGGTTCGTTTAGTCTTGACTGGTAGCAAGGACGCGACGATGCTTCTAGGCGAGATTGAGCCTAGCGTTCCCGTATGAAAAGAGGCGATAAACGTCCTACATTCCGGATTGAGATAAAGCTCTCCCAAGAGATCTCTTGAGTCGTCTGGTGGTAGTGAGCTTTCTTCCTAAAATGTCTTGCTGCTCGATTGATACCTCTCGCAAGTAAACTATTTGTTGTAATGAATTTTCGTGCGGTGGGTAATGTTCCGTGGACTCGTGCATGCATAGCTCATGGTCACGTATCATGTCGCCAGATGTCAGGTATTCCCTGTAATGTGGCTCCACCCACCAATCTCTGTCTTCCGTGCTGGTCAGGTGAACGACGTCTGTACACTGCAAGAACCTGCTTTTATAGATCGAACGCTGGGAAGGTGCTCTCGAGCTTCGAATCATTCACTTGACTATCTTATGTTTGCTTCTCTCAGGGTCTTCTCAGGGCACCCCGACTTCAACGGAAGTAAGGCACGTCATGCACTGTGTTCTCGTCACTGCGCTGTTGTCCTATGGCGCGTGCTTTCCAGTTGCTATACCTTCGCGTCTCGTTGTCACAATCGTCCTAATGCTAATAGTACGGGGATCACAGACTATGACCACTCACAGGCCGCAATGGCTCCTTTCACAAGGTTAGATAAGATAGACAAGCATGTTTGGGCGGAGGTCACGCGCACCGAACTTTGTTCCAGCTGAACACAATCTCAATGTCTAACAAGTCGAGTCTTGACTGAAGCATTAACACCATCAACATCACTGAGCACAGGCATGGACTTAATTGTCAATTTTTCAACAGGCGACGCGCTTTGCAATCGCACATTGCCTGTACGACCGATGTTCAAGTGTAACTCGTACAGGGTCCAAGCTGTACTCAGGTGTGTTTCATTATCCTTTTCATTCGCTCGCATGACTCGAACATCTCGTTTTGCTGAACAAAGCCACCTTGCAGGCTGTTCGATTTACGCGACTCCTTGGCGCTATCCCTTCGCGTCAAGAGCTTGGGCGACAGAACCAAAACTGTCTGCAGAATGGTCACGAAACCTTGAGGGGCCTTCTTCCGATAGCGCACCCTTGGACTAGCCCGATGCACGATGCTGCGCAACGCCACAGTATGTGCATGTGACGGCGTACCAATCATAAAGTAGGCCCGCTCTCTGATGAACAACGAGCAGCGAGTGATATTATCTTCTCTTTGAATAGCAGGCGGGCATACCGAGGAGCGCGGAAAGGGACTCCAGGGACGGAGATTGTAATAGCTAGCCCATGGGTATAAAGCCTTTCACATTACGGAGTATATGATGGTTTGTCCCTAGGGATTGCCATCTACCATATTGACCATTCACAAACTAACATGGCAGCGACCTTGGGCGATGTTGCCGACAAGACGTTTGACTACGTGATCATAGGTGTACACGTTCCTTTCACTCCGCTCTCCAGTTTGCTGACTGCGGCACAGGTGGTGGGGCCGCTGGGCTCACAGTTGCGGCAAGATTGAGCAAAGACAAGGATACGTCTGTATGCGTGCTCGAAGCGGGGGGTGCTAACCTGGAAGATCCTGTGATACGTACGTCTAATATCACATCTCGTGGTATCTAAGTCGCTGATGGGATCTTTTATTCAGTACGCCCTGGAGCATACGGTATTCATCTTGGCAACAAGATGTATGATTGGGGTCACGAGACGGTAAATTCATCGACTCTCAGATATTTGCGGTGTCTGAACATCTCTCTGTAGTCCAGACAGAAGCATCTCAAGGACAAAGTTTGTGTCTGGGCGAGGTACGTCTTGTCTACGCCTTCTTATCTCTATGATGACGATGATTCCAGGGGTCGCGGTTTGGGAGGCTCCACAGCGATTAACTTCATGGGATACGGGAAACCTCCCGCCCAAGAACTTGATGGTGAGTGACCGCGCCTGTACACGCGCTGTATATGGTCCCAATTCTCTTAGACTTGGAACGTCTTGGAAATCCTGGTTGGAACTGGAAGAATTTCCAAAAATATGTTGCCCGCACAGAAGGGTGGGTCTACTTCGTCCACTGTGCCACTACCCCTCTTGATAGTAATGTGCCCTGCAGATTTGTCCTGCCGCCCAAAGAGACAGAGGATTTCTTCCAAACCGACTTTGACACCTGGGAGGTGGGGCACGATGGTATGACGTTCCAAACGGATTTTGCCTAACGCTTAACCCCATTCCTCAAGGGCCATTGGCTTTGGGCTATCCCTCCTTCATCAGTCCTCATGAACGAGAGCTACGGCAGGCACGTCGGTGGCGCTCAGGTGATCAAGGCTCGCGCTAATTTTCATGACAGACACTGTTGAACGCTGGACTGCCCCTTGCACCTGGTCCTGTAAGTATGCGAACTTGTGATGCAGAGACGCTAGTACTCATCATAGGTGTTCAGTACAACGGAGACCCCAATGGCGTATATTATCTTCTGGCTACTCACGATCCCCGCACCCACACGCGGTCATATGCGACCACCGTAAGTCCCGTTCTCCACTATCCCCACCATGTCTTGTCTCAACGCTGTCACAGGCGCACTACCTTCCGAACTGTGATCGGCCGAATCTCCTCGTCCTCGTCCAGGCGCGCGTCAACCGGATCGCGCTGCGCCAGAACGAGGGCAGCAACGTCGTCGCCACACATGTCGAGTTTGAATACGGCGGTAAGACGAGCGTCGTGTATGTGAAGAAGGAAGTGATCCTCGCTGCGGGGGCGCTGCGCTCGCCGAAGGTCTTGGAGCTCTCTGGTATCGGAAAGCGGGAGGTTCTGGAAAGTGTGGGCGTACCAGTGGTGATAGATTTGCCTGGCGTCGGGGAGAATATGCAAGAGCATATCATCTGCGGCTCGAGTTTTGGTACGTTTTTCGATTATCAAGGTTTTTTGAACAGACAATAAAGTTGTTTTAGAACTCAAGGACGATGTGGACTGGGAAACCTTCGATGTTTTGCGTGACCCTGCCCAGCTGGCTAAGCACGCCGAGCTGTAGTGCGTAATATCATCTGCTCTGTCTTCCCAACCGATTGACGACATATCATCAGCGAGAAGGGAGAAGGTCTTTTCACGTCCGGATACATCAACTTCGCGTTCGCACCCCTGGACAAGATCACAGACAGTGCCAAGGCCGAGGAAATCTACAAGAAGGCACAAGCCATTCTTGCGAATGTCGATCCTAACAAGAATCCTGGCCTAAAGGAACAATATGAGATCATGATTGAACGCATCAAGCCTGGAACTAACTCACCCGGTTCCGAGTTCATCTTATACGGTTCTAATACAGTACATGGAAGTACGTATGATTGACCATGTGGTCCGGTATCGGCACTCATTAGTCCGTAGAACCTGGTGCTCCAGGAAAACGCTACGTCGGTATCAGCACAAGTCTCAACTACATGTTCTCGCGCGGTTCGGTGGTAAGTCTTGGTACATTGGGTTCGATCCTCCGTTTGATACTAACACCACTACGGTTAGCAC